CCCCAATCAGTGTCTCTCACTTCCCCCTCCTAGCATCAGTCGGTGTCTCTCTCCTCCTTCCCCAGCTACTTGTTGATTCCTGCTGTCTGTGAAATGGTAAATCGCTCTTCAGAGATCTTTGAGAAGGCTTAGCTTGTGCCCTGCAATCAGATGACAGGACAGGATTGGGTGCCAGGAGATAAAGCTGCCATAAACTTTCCAGGACCACAGGGGGAATGAATTTAGCTCCTTTACTGCTGCAGACCTGCATTGGCAGTCTTGGAGCAATGCTAAGCCCCAGCTTCACATTGCAAACAATCCATGTGTACTGGGACACCTCAAACACAAACATCTTCGTTTTAAGCTCAGGACATGGACAGCCCTGGCCGGGATTCGGATCGCGACCCCCTCCATTCACTTGCGCGACCCCACATGGGGTCGCGACCCGCCCTTTAAGAAGCCCTGCTTTAGACCACTTCACAAGTTTGCAGAGTGAAATAGGTTTACTGTCCAAGTTCTGGGCTGTGTGAATTGGTTCAGTCATCCCTTATTCTAACTACTTACTCTCACTTCCTTACCATTATGAAAGGGCTTTATCTCAGGTGTGTCCATGGCGAAATATATCTAAAGCTTATCCCAACTAGCCCTATGTGCAATGCAGGCAGATCGTGGCTGATGGCAGGGGCTAGCAGGGTGCTGTACACAGCTTCCTGCAAACATCACAGCAGATTTCTTTAGTACTCCGCTCAAGCGCCTTCAGCCCTGATGCAAGAAGTGGTCTGCCTTTTGGAAACCAAAAAGCCAGACCAAATTCAAAAAGGAGTCCAAAATGGTTTTAATGAGTCATAAAACAACAGCCAACGCATTTTGGGGGCAAAACCATTTCCCCTTCATCAGGGCTCGATAATATAATAATAATTGTATGTGTTTAAATGCACTCAGAGAATCAGATGCCAAACAGAGAAGCAGATGCCAAACAAACCTTATACTTCCTGCTTGGAAGGAATCAGATGTCACAGAAGCCAGTAAAAGCAGCCATTTAACAATGAACTCCCAGCGCTTCTTGTTTGCTTGGTTGCACCCCTTTGGAAGTTTTTATTACACTCTATGTCACCAGGACAGGAAGTAAGTAGAACATCTCTACAGCACTTACAGGGACAGCAAACAAAGCCACACCTTTAACGTACACAGAGAAGGATAAGATTTTTATTACCTAAAGCATAAACAATTTAAAGGGGCGACAGACCAAATGGCAAAAGAGTCCAAATCACTTTAATGGTTCACATATAAAACAGCCAATGCATTTTAGGGGCTATCAGAACTTTAAATGGAATCATGTGCAGGCTTTGCTATATTGTTCTGTATAGAATGGATATAAAAATGCATAGGAGTCAGTTGTCAGATGTGCCAGCATTAAGGGCAATAGCATGGGATCAGGGCAGCCATCAGGGGGGTACGGCAGATACTCATGTAAGGTGCCCGGGCGGCCTGAGGGCCCGCCCGGGTCCCTGACATGACTATCGGCCAACGTTGAAGGGCGAGGAGGCAGAGGCCTGGCCCTAGCAGCGCAGGGCCCCAGCATTGCAGCTCCAGTGGCTTTGAGACAAGCTAGGGCCCCATCAGCGACGCTGCTCGTCTGATGTCGGACTGGCCGGAAGTGACGTCACTTCTGGCCGGTCCGGCGGCAGACGAGGCCATGTGTGCAGGTAAGAGGAGCTAGGAAGGAAAGGAGGGAGGGATGCAGCCCTGACCAGCCCACCTGAGACCCCTTCAGAGCCCACCCTAGACAGTCTCAGATGGGCTGTGCAGCATCTATGGTGGGCTCTGCAGGGTCACTCTCAGGTGCGTCCTGTGTCCAGCTCGTCACTAAGCCCTGCGTCCAGCGCGTCACTAAGCCCTGTGTCGGCGTGGGGGGGGGGCCCGGCCTAAAGCCATGTAAGGGGCCCTAAAATTTCTGATGGCTGCCCTGCATGGGATAGATGTGTCCCATTGGATTTTATTGCTGTCTGTGACCCCATTGAGAAGGTTCCCTTTTTCTTTCTATACTGGTGACCACCATCATTAGGACACAAATTAAGTGGAAACTTAAAATTTTACAGTTGTCCCTGGAACAAATGTAGAGGAGAAATCAACCAATGAGAACATATATTCTTATAAATTATTCCCAAGACAGCAGTTAAGGAAAAAGTCTCTCCAGCAGGTACACAGCAATAACACATTTTAACGGTTGGAATTTCAAGATTTTTCTATGAAAAAAAAAAACAAATCAAATTACTTTTATCAACAGTGATAGCTGATACTGTAGTCATTGTGCACCAAGAAATATGTACTTTTCTTAAATAAGACAGGAGCCATTTAAAAATAAAAATTGAAAGCACCTTTCTTAACTCTCAGGTCTATTGGCAAACCATTGTAGCCTTAAAAGAAAAGCACCTTAATTTCTCCTTCCCTTTTGACTACAATTCATTTTGCCACAAATTTACATTTGCAGAGGTTATTGCAAAGTGAAAACCTCTGAATGTTGCTCATCTGTCACCTGAACCGGGAGTGGGGAGAAATCACCCCATTTGAAACATGCACAACTCTTACCCATTTTATCCAAAAATTGTATAAAAGTTTAGACATGTGTTCCATTTTAACAGCCGTAACTTTTACAATAAAATATCAATCAGTTGTCGTCACAGTTGTTGTACATTCTAGGTTCTTTGTTAAGTTTAGCTCTCCTGTATGTATTTTAGTATATAATACCCCAAGGGAAAAATTCACATCTGTACAAGAACAGTAATTGGGGACTAATTGTAACATGTACACAGCCTTTATATATGGTCTCCGAATTCAGTACATGGGAGCCTTTATGAGCTATGTTTATACTGAAGACTATACCAAATAGAGTGGAGACTGGAGTTTACATTGGTTTACTGTTTATTAGACATATTCAAGTTATATGCTAGGATAATCTCAGGTAAGGTATGACATTACAACATTTTGTAAAATGCATGCATCTCCAAATTACATTCTTGCAAATTGACAGTTAAAATAGAATCTCTGAAATAGAATCTCTCACAGTCTGACTGAATCTAAGCCTATTTGGGCAATGGATGGAGCTGGGCAAATGTGGTACCTGGTACCTTCTTTGTACAAGTATATGAATAGGGATTTTCACTTTCCCCATTTGCATTTTGAAATGTACTGCTCTCATAAAAGATAACCATACCTTAGAAAACCACACGTATTAGGAGAATGAACTGAACAGCATATTCCTCATTTTGACTCATTACCCTTCTTTCTGCTAAAACTCTTTTCATTGTGACTGCAGTCACGATGCCCCTGAACAAGTGAAAGGTACAGAGAAGCCACTGTTGGCCTCCTTCTGAAAATGCCAGTGGCCTAGCTGTTATTATGGCTTGACTCCCTTTGATAAGTCACAGGCTAAGAATAAATTTTTAGAAAAATCACAGACAAGTCAGAGGTCCTTCTTAACATGCTTGTTCTGAATCAGTAGCTAAAAATATTGAAGTGGATCAGCATGACAGCCACGAGCATTTCAAAACAAGAATATAGGTGAAATCAGAAGGCACTATGCTCTCTTGATTTTTTTTATATGTACACTTTTATAATTAATGGCAAAATGTTCATAGGTCCTTTCAGTGTGCTCTGTGTGGCCCCAAGTTAAATATTCCCAGTCCTTCCTGCTTAAAACATATGCCAAACATATGGCAGATTTAAAAAAAACATACATCTCTGCAATACACAGACATTTCACTATGTTTTCTTTTTTTAATTGGTCACTCTTTATTATGAAAATACAAAGTTACACATAAGCATTTTTTTAAACACATACTTGCACATGTCTCATCAGTAACACTATATTGATATAACAAGATAAGCAGCGCTAGGAGTTCAATTAGCTGTATATCATACAGGTGGCATATATGGTTATTTGATTCACCTACTAGTGCTGTTAATTTGGTTTAAACAAGTAGCACTATATTGCAGACACTGAACACAGAAGACGATTCAGAAGTCCAGCAGGTTACTTGCAACAACTGCAGGTTTCACATCCCTTTGCACATTCGCATCCCTGGCTGCATTTACTGCAATCCGCTGAACAACAGGAGCAGCAGCTTTTCTTGCAGGACTTGCATTTGCAGTTTTTGCACTGGCAGGAATCACCGCAGGAGGAAGATGCACCTGTAGTGCAGTTGCAATCATGAGGGTGCATGGTTGGCTGTTGCTCTGGATGTTGAGTCTGGATTTTGCTGTATGTTTTCATTTCACTATGTTTTATGTTTTTAAAGACACTGCTACAACAGGAAAATATGTAGATCTGCTAAATATACACTCAGCTCCTAAGTCCTGCTATGGGCTGACAACACACAGCAGATCTGTAGACTATGTAGTGTCACCCCTGCCCAGATTATTTTGCTAAACTACTTAACCACTTGTACATAAGTACAGATATATACAACATGAAGGGTTATTATTCTGTAGTCCAGGATAAGTCCTCCCCAGGACCAATTTAAAATCTGGTACACAGCACTTGTGGAAATGAATGAATCTCCTAAAGTCACTATACAGATGTTTACCAATGGCATGCTTATTTTTTTTTTAAAGCACAAGGTAAGCAGCAGCTACAGCTTTGGATGCATATAATTTGATTTAGAATTAAAGGGAAACTATAGTCTTTTTTATTCTTTTTTTTTTTAAATATTGGAGTAAAAGATATCAACCTAAAGTGTATGTAAACCCAAAAACACAAATGTAATATATTGCAGCTTACCAGATCTTAGATGTGGTGGCTACATTCGTTTTCACTTTTCAGGCTAACAACATTTTCAGCCAGAAACGTATTGTCACTTGTCACTTTCTTTGAGCTTAAAAGAAAGTACAAAGAACCTCGTCTTTACTGTATAAACTACTAGTTCCTTGAATCCACCATGTGATGGAGATCAACAAAGTTTAGGTCCAGCCTGTTGGACAACCATAGTTGCTCCCACACTGGAGGAAAAAGCATAGACATGAAGAAACATGAAGTGAGTTATTTGCAGGATCACCAGGTGAAAATAAAGGGAAAAAACTGAAATTGAAGATGAATGCAGCCACCTCATCTAAAGACTATGAAGCTGCTATTCCTATCATTTCCTGTTGTGTCTCCAGAAGACTAAGTGAAAGGAGAATCTTTCCAACTGGACACAGACAGCAATAGTTACGTTTAATAGAACGCAGATGTGAAGCTGTTCCTAAACCTTATTGGCTTTTGCTTCTGACTGCCAGGTAAACGACCTCACAAAAGCTCAATCCAGCCCTTTAAATCAAGCAACAATGTGTCAGAGAGGGGGGCATCCCAAATAGGGTGTTGCTTGTCACCCTTGTTCATTAAAGATTTAGACTTTTACCCGGAACATGAAGATAAGGACATTTGACTTTACTCTGACCTTCCTGATCTGCATACTTTTTCCAGGTCAATGACTAGGAAAAAGTATCAAAGATCAGTATAACAATCAGCAAATAGCATTTTCAGAAATGAGTCTCTCTCTCTTAGAAGAGGTTTACTTTAACCTAGAAATATCGGTATCACTGAACTATGCTTAGCCCCCAAACCTGTCCATCTCCTGTTTTTATAGCTCAGTTTAACAAGTCCTTTCACCTAAAACTGGTTCCGTAATTGTGTATTGGTTTGTCACCTGTCAGGTTTTTAATAACATGGAAATCCCAGAGAGTAGAAACCCCCAAGACCATACCCTCACCCAGATTCTACCGCAGGGGTCAGGTCACACATCTGACGTATAGTTATATTATATAGTATAAAGGTCCTTCTTTTTGGATTCTCAAGTTCTTGGAAAACTGCCAGATGCGTTATGTCTCGGACTCTACATAAGGAGCCAAATTACTGTTCATTCATAATCATGAATATCATAAAATGTTCACAATATAATTCTATCTCCAGACTTTCTTTATGGAGACGAGAACGTGGAACTACACGGAAGTTGAGGAATTCATTCTCTTGGGGCTGACCAGTCACCCAAAGCTGCAGATTGTTTTATTTGTGGTATTTCTTATCACTTATGTTGTATCCCTTATGGGTAATGTCCTTATTATTTTTATCAGCAGGACAAGCCCCCGTCTCCATACACCAATGTATTTCTTCTTGAGTAACTTATCATTTTTGGACATATGGTACACCTCCAGTATAGTTCCAATAATGCTCAAAAACTTTTTGTCACAGAAGAAAAGTATATCGTTTGAGGGCTGTTTCACACAACTGTTTATACACCTATGTTTAGGAGGCTCTGAGTGCTACCTTCTCTTAGCAATGGCTTACGATCGCTATGTGGCTATTTGCAGCCCTTTACACTATACCACCATTATGCATCCAAGTTTATGCATTAAAATGGCAGGTGGCTGTTGGACTGGGGGTCTTATAAACTCATTAATTCACACATTGGTTGCATTGCGATTGTCATTCTGTGGCCCAAATGTCATTAATCATTTCTTCTGTGAGATTCCATCTGTATTAGAGCTGTCCTGCACAGATGCTTCTCTCAATAAGACCATAATTTTCCTCTGTGCTATTTTGGTAGTTATGGGCCCATTTTTCCTCATTCTCATTACATATGGGTACATTATCTCCAGTATACTTAAGATCAGTACATCAGTGGGCCGGAAGAAGGCTTTTTCCACTTGTGCTTCACACATTATTGTAGTCACTTTATTCTATGGTACAATCATTTTTATGTACATGAGACCAGGAGACACTCATGTGGCCAACCAGGATAAAATGGCCACCTTGTTCTATAGTGTTGTGACTCCAATACTCAACCCTCTCATCTACACATTGAAAAACAAGGATGTTAAAGGAGCATTGCTAGAGATCACAATAAAAGGTTTCCGACTGTTCATATAAGAGAAGTTAGATCTGGCGCTCCTTGCTAGTGATGGGCTGAACACCCCAATGTTCGGTTCTAATTCAAACTTTAGAACATGGAAAAAGTTCGAATTCGAACTCAATGCAAGTCTATGGGGGTAGAACTTTGAAAATCAACTGTCCCTATCTTGAAGCTTATATGCAATTTATTGGCCATAAAAAGTGTATGGGGATTTGGCTACTCCCCTGGGGAACATGTATCAATGCAAACTTTTAAAAAATACAGTTTTTAACCATCTCCCGTCCCCTGAACGATCAGAAATGGCCGGACGGGAGTCTTCTGAATGCGGGTGGGCGTCTTTAGATGTCCTTCGTGCCCACGTCCACATGCCCCCTTGGCACGCAGAATTTTAAACAGCCAGCAATGGCCGTTTACATACAAGCGGTCCAGCGTCTGTAAAGACGCCCAATCGCTTGTAGGCTGCATGTCTCTGTGCACCCCCCTCCTTACCTCGTCTCGTGGTCGCCGTCCCCGATGGGCGATGTGGCTCCATTCACTGAGAACGGAGGGAGATCAGTACACAATCTCCCTCCGCTCTCCTCCACGGTGTCTGAATGCAGGAAGTACAGAAACTGGAGAGACGCTGATGAAGCAGATCTGTGCTTCATCAGCTTCTCTGGGAGTCCCTAGGTGACATTAGGGGTCTTAGGGGACCTGTCACTGTAATTTGATATCACATAGGACAACGGTCGCCAACAGGTGGTCCATGGACCACTGGTGATCCGTGAGAAAATGTTGGTGGTCCCCGGGCCCCTCTGATGCGGTGCAGGCTGGGCCGTCATTGAAGCGGCACAGAGGCTCCTAGGCTGCTTCTCACTGACTCAAGCAGCGGCTGTCACAAGGAATGCGTGGCTCTCAGTACAGTGCAGGCTCTGCAGGAGGCAGGGCATCTCATCAGTACCCGGACTGAGCAGGCTGCGGGACATAGAAAAAGTGGAGAGAAGCCAGGTATTAGTGGCTCAGTGTGGGGGAGGGAGTGGCATGGAGGACGTTTGGGGCAGTGCTGAAGCTAGGGGGGGCATGTGGCCCTGGCGCTGCAGACAGGGCCAGTGGCAGATTCGATAGGGGTGAAACAATTAATATTATTACTGGGCCGGGGCGGGTGGCACCGCTCCCTCCCTCCACCCGCACCTATGCATGTATGTGTATATACTGTATACTGTATGTATATATAGATATTCTCATCCTTCTGAAAATGCTAGAGGCCTGGTTGTTATGACCCACTGGCTTGACTCCCAGAAATGTTTTTATGGTATTTCAATTTTTTTCTATTATATGCCTTCTTTACCTTCGAGATTGAAGAGTGCATGGAGCCAAAACATTTTCGTAGTTTTGGATGGAGTAGAGATGGGTTAGCTCTCAGTTTTAGTGCTATCTTTGGGCCCCATTGGGGAGATTAATCCTTTCTATTTGTTTAGGTGACCTCTGTCGTTGGGACTGAAACGGAAAATCCAGAATTTTGAGTTGACACCACAACAAGAATATAGAGGAAACCAGAAGGCACTATGCTGGCCTAATTTTTGTATATTTTTATATTAAAAGGCAAAATGGTCATAGGTTCTTTCAGTTTGCTCTGCGTGGCCCCCAGGTTAAATATTCCTAGTCCTCCCTGCTTAAAGATATGCCAAGGCATATTAAAAAAACATACATCTCTGCAATACACACATATCTCCCCGTGCATTCCTTTAAAGACCCTGCTATAACACAAAAATACCGGTTGATCTGCTAAATATACACTCAGCTCCTAAGTCCTGCTGTGGGCTGACAACACACAGGAGTTTTGTGGACTATATAGTGTCAGCCCTGCCCAGTGTCCATTGCTGAACTACTCAACCACTTGTACTCTCAGTTCTCTACAACATGAAGGTGTATAATTCTGTATTCTAGAATAAGAACTAGGAGGGTTGAATAACCTCTTTAACTTCTTCGCCAGAAGAAGTGAAGGGAAATCTTTCCAACTGGACACAAGCAGCAAAAATGACCTTCAATAGAAAGCAGAGGTGATGCTGTGTCTAAACCCTATTGGCCTTTTCTTCTGACTGACGGATGATCTACCTCATGAAAGCCCATTTCAGCCCTCGAAATCAAGCAGAAATGTATCAGAGAGGGGAGCATCCCAAGTGGTGTGTTGTTTGTACTCCTTTGTTCAATAAAAATGTAAACTTTGACTGGAAGTACTAGAGTGCAGCCCTCAACCCTATCTGTAATTTTGTTTAATTATTTTTGAAGTGTCTGTGTTTAGTTTGTATATATCCATATAATCAGGGCAGCAATGTTGATCCTCATATCTGACTACTGATTTGTATCCAGAAACAATGTGATCTAAGCCCCTTAGCTGGGGAACAATAGCTATTATTTATGTCAAGAAAGAGGTACTTTTACTCAAAATATATTTTTAATTCTAATTGTTATAACACGTTTTTGGAATGTAATATTGACAGTTCTGATGTTGATATGTTAGAGCACAGGTTTCTTTAGGAGACATTTTCTGCATGAGATAGCGTTTGGATTATAGCTATTGCAAAGTTGTGCCTAAAGGGAAGCAGAATGTCTTTTAGGCAATATTATTACACGTTTTCTTATTTACTGATATGTTTTCATTATTTTATTTATAAGTTTATCTGACAAATAAATACACATGACATTTTGTAGAGCAGCTTGCTCTGTAATACAAAACCCCAGCAGTTATTTTACACCTTTTGTAAAAAAGACCTGCACAACCTGGGTTGTAAATGGAATTCTTTTCGTACTTGTTTTAATGACTAGGCCTGATAGCCTTAACATTTAAAGGAAACACTTCTTGAAAGAAACATGTAGGATGCCATTGCTAGTTCTGTGCCTGTCATGTTTATTCCAACCACTAACCCGGAACATGAAGATATAGCATTTTCAGAAATGACTCTCTCTCAGAAGAGTTTTACTTTAATCTAGAAATATCGGTATCACTGAACTATGCTTAGCCCACAAACCTGTCCATCTGCTGTCTTTTTAGCTCAGTTTAACAAGTCCTTTCACCTAAACTGGTTCCGCATTTGTGTATTGGTTTGTCACCTGTCAGGTTTTCAATAACATAGAATAGAATAAGGTAACTACAATAATTCCCACATTATTGTAGTTACCTTATTCTATGTTACAACCATTTTTATGTACATGAGACCAGGAGACACTCATGTGGCCAACCAGGATAACATGGCCACCTTGTTTCTATAGTGTTCTGACTCCAATGCTCCACTCTCCCATCTGCACCTTGAGAAACAAGGATGTTAAAGGAGCTTCGATAGAGATTACAATAAAAAAGCCATAATACCAAAAAGCACAGCAACTATATACACATGGAAGACTGGTATTACTAGTTTACAGGTAATACAATAATAATATACTCTTGCCAAATTTCGTATGAAGGCACAAACATAAAAAGGATTTTGACTATTCATAATGGATAAGTTAGACCTAGCTCTCCTTACATGCTCATCAGATGTTTTGTTAATAAAGCTTCAAGATTTAACTCAGTCTGGCTTGTTGCAAAATATGAGGGTTTAACTGCATGTCGAACTATACAGGCCACAGGGTAACATGTAGAGGGCACAGAACAATGTGAATGTGTCACCTAGGTTTCTCACACACACATGGCGAGGGCCTCCAAGGTTTTGGTGAAAACCAAAGCAACATATATAAAGGTTAATCCATGGACAGCATTGATCATGCAGTAAAAAGGTTTTGAAGGCATCGTTTTAACATTTACAGGTTACAATGACACTTCCATCAAAACCCCAGAACACACATTGAAATTAAAAAAAATTATAAAAAAAATAATAAACAAAAGATACCTTACTCTGCTGAGGGAATATTTATACATATTTAGTAAGTAAATATGTATAGAGGGGAGAGATCAGACCACTAGAGTGAGTCGCCTTAACCAGAGCGTTAAAGCCTGGGGTAGATCAATTCTTAACTCCCACATAATGTGTGCACATGTAAAGCATGTCTGAGTTGAACGTATTGATAAAAGGATTTGTTTAAACTTCATTAAAAATGTTGGAATGGCTTCAAGACACATTGGGGGTGATTTACTAACCTAAACCAGGTGCGTGTGATTTTCACACAGCAAAACGTATTTATCAACCAAAAAGTCTCTGAAAGCATATTTCCACTAATGCCATATATGGAAAAATCATGCACATGATGCATATATAATGCTGCTTCACAGTTTAGACAAAAATGGTTAGCTCATGCATTTACATTCCTGCATTCATCAACGCAAGCAACACAACATAGAGCTAATTTACACAACATCACCTTGCAATTCATGCTTGGCTTTGCACAACACACCTGCTGGGTGTGTACACACTACAAAGGTGTCTAGATTCCACCCATAGATCATGCTGGGAGGGAACACACTACAGAGGTGTATACATGTGCGTGGTGTGTTTATAAGGTTAGTAAATCAACCCCATTGGCTTGTTGCAATTGGAGAAATACCCCAACAGAAGCTTAGCAGCATTCCATTCTCTCCCCAAGTACAGTGAGGCAGATGTCATATGTTTTAGTATAGCTATTTATTTTCAATTGGAGAAGTGGATTCCAGCCCTGCAAATAAAAATAAATAATATTGCAAGCAGCAGAGAAGCTCTTGACGCCTCCCAGCCTGACAAATGCTGCAGCTGGGATGCAAGAAAATAGACCTATGGGGTTGGAGCGGAGAGAACCCCCATGTCTTTAGGTATCAATTTAAATCAGTGATATTATGCAGCATATATAGTAGCTGTAGTATCCACGCCATTTTAAGAAGGTTGACTCTACTAACTACCGTTAGTGAAAGCCTACACCCAACTGTACATTTATTCCTGAACTGTTGCATCCAGGCGGAAGAGGGCGGGACTTGGGGGGGGTGCAGGAGTTAGGGAAGGAGGAACTAATGTATGTCTGCATGAAGAGCAGAATGGTGAACAATAATTTAAGAGATCTGATGTCTGAAATGAGCCCAGGAAGACCAGTTTAGAATAGACTTGTGCGCCGTCAAAAAATTTGTTTCGTTTCGGAATATCCGTTATTTCGTATTTCGTGTCCGAAACTCAATTCGGATTCGTACGAAATACGAATTTTCATTAGTTTTGGCACATTTTCGTAACTTTGTAAACATTCGTTATGATGAAGTTAAAAAGCAAAAATACCTTTGTTAATATTGGAGTCGATGTGGTAGTTGTTTTTTTTTTATCCGAAATACGAATTCCGTTAACGGAATTAACCGCCTGTATTCATTGTAATGCAACTCTCAGCAGCAGAAGAGAAAACCTCTGATTGGTCTACCAAACGAAATATGAATTCTGTTAACGGATTCCGGATCCGAATTTCGTATTTTGGATAAAGAAAAAAACTACAATCAACTCCAATATATTAACAAAGGTATTTTGCTTTTTAACTTCAATATAACGAATGTTCGCAACGAAACTAAATTCCATTAGCGGAATTTCGTATTTCCTGCCTATGTATTGTAATGCAACTCTCAGCAGCAGCGGATCCGTATTTCGGATTTAAAAAAAAAACTTGTCATGTTGTTCAACCTCATTTACAGGGGTAATATTAGTTCCCGTTTCAAAGAAATTCGGATCCGAAATTCGTTAACGGAATTTCGTATTTCGGATATAATTCGGAAACTGCAATTCGGATTTCGGATGCTTCCGCATTTACGAATTTCAGGAAAATTCGTACGAATTTCGATTCGTAACTAAACGAATCGCACATGTCTAGTTTAGAATTCCACCTTTTTGGACGACATATTGCTTTATTGTTCTTGAATATTTCTATATTATTTTTTAATAATGTTACCAAGATGTTTATCCCCCTGTCTTATTTTTTCTTTGATTAAATAAAGTTATTAAAAAGGAATCAGAGAGAGGTATACATTTTTATCCAATATGTCCCCAAAAAATATTTTTGCCTAGAGTTCCATTTTAACACCAGTGAAGTAACTTTTACAATAAAATTAAACAAAGTCTAAATCAGCTGTGAAGGTTACAAGCACATTATTGTTTTCTGTCAGTGGTTTTTATAAGTTTATCTTTCTTTTAGTATTTTGAGATATAATACCCTGTGAAAAAAAGTTTAGCAGCATCAAAAGAGTAGCCATCAGGGAATATTAGCTTTTGCAAGTTGTAGTTTGTAGATATAGAATCTACATATAGTTTCTGTCAGGTTTTTTTATTAAGTTTTTCTTGTTAGCAATTTGAGATAGAATTCCCCATGGAAAAAAGTGATTTAGCAGCACAAGAAGTCTTTAGGGATTAATAAAGTCTTTCAAATTGTAGCTTATAGGCATGGGATCTATGCATAGTTTGTGAATTCAGTGCCTGGGAGCATTTATGAAAATAATGGCCCACGCGTATACCAATAACTATGTATATAGAATAGAGACTGGAGCATAAATGTATTTGTTTCATGTTTATGTATAATAGACATATAGAGAATATACACTAGGACAATTTTAGGTAAGACATCTACACCATATATCCTTAGGTTGGAAAGGTTGAGGGTTTTTTCTTTATTTTTTGGGTGGTGGTATTGTATTTAGAGCAATTTATTTTATTTAGTCTTTTTTGTCTTTGTATTTTATACTTTATAAATGTAACAATTATTTGTGTACTGTAGGTTTTTAGTTTTACCTTTATTTCCTGCAGTTTTTTTTTCTTTCTGTAAAAGTAAATACCATTGTTAGGCTAATGAGGAGTTGTTTTCTGGCACATGGAGAGGTTCAGGAGAGTTGAAATGTGCTTCTGTAACACTCAGGAGCTATTTACAACATTTTGCACCCTTACAAACCAGCAAAAACCACCTCAGTTTCACCTTCCCCATTAACTCTAATAATTAATGAATTTCTTCAATGTTACTCATTTCTGTTTAGCAGAAAGAAAGGTAATGGATTGTTAAAACACATTTCCCATATATCAGGTAACTTATTTTAAATGCATACTTATTCTTTAAACTTTACAGAGGTTGATATATTAATATGGAATTCAGGAGCCATCAGGATTGTTTTTAGGAGCCCGCTCATTTGACATTAACTATAGTAAACCTGTACTAAGTCTATTACTCTAATGTAAAATGCACTATATGAAAAATCACCAAATGTGACTGAAAAATCTTTAAGTGTAGGTAAAGGCACTATTTTAGCTTTGGATAGAGAGGAGAAAGGTTAGACCCTTTTTGAAGTTTTTATTGTTCCAAAGGAGACATCCAAAAGGCACTGGGACTTCAATACTTATTTGTACAGATCAGTGAAGGGAAAACAATCATTCAGAGAGCTCACTGGCTCTGGCTAGGCAGCTCCCATGCAAACAGAGCTACCATCCACAGAAAGCCAAAAAACAACAGGAGGAGCACCAGACCAAAACTGTGAGAGAGTCCAAATCACTTTAATGGTTCACGATAAATTGTGAACCATTAAAAATCGCTTTATTGGTTCACAATAAATTTGGACTCTTTTGCTATTTTGTTCTAGTGCTCCTTCTGCTGGTTTATGCTTTTAATAAGTTTTTATTGCTGTCTGAGCTCCCACTTGGGAGATTCACCCGTCTATTTGTACATATTACCATTGCCCTTAAAACAAAGTTAGCGGAAATAAAAAATTGTGATATCTTCCATTGGGGACCAGAGAAAGGGTTCAGAACTGTTGTCAGGTAAATGCAAGAAAAGGTGATTTCTGCACAATAGGTTGGAGAGTAGAGGAAAGGTGAGGAAGGGTAACAGTTTTACTTCCACTTTAAGCATTAAGGATACAGGGTTAGAGATTAGAGCTCTTTTCCATATGCTATTTATTATTCTGGGGTGTGTATGTGTGTCTTAAGGTCACCACACACCTTACGGTAATCGTAGGATAATCGTGGGAAATCCCGCGATCCTACGATTATCGTAAGGTGTGTGGAAGCCGTGCGACCTCTACTACTGTAAGGGCGCACGACTTTAAACTTACAACCATGTTTCAAAACCCGCCGAGCATCGTACGATGTTCGGCGGGTGTGTAGCATGTTCGTAAGATAAAAGCCGGACGGGCCCATTCGGCATTGCGGTCATCGGAAGCCCGCCCCTCAGGGGGCGTGGCTTGCGATCATCGCAAGTACGATCTGCCTATGCAACATAGGCAGATCGTACGTTTTTTTAAGTACCTTACAACCATCGCAAGACAAAAGTCTTGCGATGGTTGTAAGGTGTGTGCCCAGCCTTAGTCTGACACTGCAGTTGGTAACAAATTTCCATCATGACCAATAAACTGTAGTGGTCACTGCTAAAGCTGTTACTGGAACGTAAAGTTATTAGCAAGTAAACTGGCATGCCTGTAGTGAACCATGATGGAGGCAGAGTTGGGTGAGAGCACTGTGAGTAAAGATGGCATATAACTGCACTTAGAGGAAGTGACTTGCCATAGTGTATTTAGAAAACGGCCCACCCGATGCGCTTACATTGCACTTATAACGACAGTGTCTGTGTCTGACACAACTTGTTCCAATCGGCCTGATTAGGAAATGATGAAAGGACATATAAGGCAGCATAAATGGAGCAGATTTTGGTTGATTTTACAAAACTAACCACTGATTGCATAGTATTCTTCCCAATTTACTTTTTAGGTGATTGGAAGTGAAAAGGGGAGAACACACACATTTTGCCTGCAAAGCAATCGTTCCTCAGGGGATTGTATTTTGGAGGCAAGAGAGGTTTCTCAGAGAATTGTATTTTGGCAACAATAGTGAACTGTTGCAATGGCACCAAAAACATGAAGAGTGAAGAAAGCCTAGGCTCGCCTAATGCTAAATTCACTAATGGCTTCCCTGTGCATTTGCATTGCTCCTATATGGAGTGTGTGCTCATTGACATAACTCCTTCTGATTGGCCGGATTAGGGAATGATGAAAGACCATAAAGGAGAGCATGGGAGACAATCCCATAGATTCCCAGGTTGAAAATGACATAGAGCACAAATAATTTCTGATTTATTTTTTTTTTCAAGCAATTCAGTGTGATCCTGGATGAATACTGACTCCTGTACCTAAAATGCATTCCTCAAGTTTCTGCTGATGTCATCAGGATCAGCCACCTTTCATTTTTAAATAGCATAGGTCTATACAAGACAGGAGAGGCCCCCACCCCAAGCCTGTACGGCAAGGATCAGGTGACAGAACTGCTTGGCTTAACACTGTTCTAGATATGTTATTGACATTGCCATTATAGACGTGTGATCTCAGAGGATAAAGGTCAATTTTTGAAATCTGAAGAACTTGAAAAACTGCCACATGCTTGAACCACTGTAGAAAGCAGTGTTGGTTGGAGTCTTTTAAGAAAGCTACCTACGACCGTTTGTTCCTACACTTATACTGTATATGCATATTTATATGACATTTGACTACAAAATTCTATCTCTAGACTTTCTTTATAGTGATAATGATGTGGAACTACACAAAAGTCGAGGAATTCATTCTTTTGGGGTTGACCAGAAGCCCAGATATGCAGATTGTCTTATTTATAGTATTTCTTATCGGTTATGTTACATCACTTATGGGTAATGTCCTTATTATTTTTGTCAGCAGGATTAGTCCCAGTCTCCATACCCCAATGTATTTCTTCTTGAGTAACTTATCGTTTATGGACATTTGGTTTACCTCCAGCATAGTTCCCAAAATGCTCAAAAACTTTTTATCACTGAAGAAAAGTATATCATTTGAGGCCTGTTTTACCCAACTGTTTATGCATATGGGTTTAGGAGGCTCAGAGTGCTGCCTTCTCTTAGCAATGGCTTATGATCGGTATGTGGCTATATGCAGTCCGTTACACTATAACACTATTATGCATACAAGCTTATGCATTAAAATGGCAAGTGGATGTTGGATCACGGGCCTTACAAACTCATTAATACATACACTATTTGCACTGCAGTTGCCATTCTGTGGCCCAAATGTCATTAACCACTTTTTTTGTGAGATACCATACATAATAGAACTGTCCTGTACAGATGCTTCTCTTAACAAGACCATCATATTCTTGTGTGCTATGTTTGTGGTTATGGTCCCATTTTTCCTCATTCTCATTACATATGGGTACATTATCTCCAGTATACTTAAGATCAGTACATCAGTGGGCCGGAAGAAGGCTTTTTCCACTTGTGCTTCACACATTATTGTAGTCACTTTATTCTATGGTACAATCATTTTTATGTACATGAGACCAGGAGACACTCATGTGGCCAACCAGGATAAAATGGCCACCTTGTTCTATAGTGTTGTGACTCCAATGCTTAATCCTTTCATCTACACCTTGAGAAACAAAGATGTTAAAGGGGTGTTGATAGAGATTACAAGAAAAAAGCATGTGCCAAAATGAGAATAGGAACTGTAAGCATATATTATTTTAGAATGGAATAACTTATTGTATTTATATAGGTAGAAAAATATTATCACTGGGTCACATGCACTTGTCTAATCTAAACCGAAGGTACCAAGGCACAAGGATTTTAGCTGTTCATGCAGGAAAGATTAATTATTTCCCATCTGACATCACCATGCTCTGTTCAAAGCATTTTGGACAAGCACTACATAGGAAGTGACATTTAGGATAACTATTGGGAAGACAAGTACCATTGAAATTAGATCTCTTTTTGATCTTTGCTAGAGTTTTCCACCCCACAATAAACAATTTTGGCTGGAGGTAAGCTTTATCAAAATCCACTAACAAGTAAATCTCTAGGATAATGCCACCTTGAAGGTCATCGGGTTCAAAGAAATATACTCCATGTAAATGTCTTATCTTTGAAACCATATATTTTATCAGCTTTTTCTACTGATCATACATTGGTACCTAAATAATTGTTCTTACAAAGAGGAAACAAAATATGCTTTTTTACAAGTCATTCATCTTTAAGCAAAGATTCATGAGTCAGGTGGGATTTTCTACCCCATAATATACAATTTTGGCTGATGCTAGGCTTTAACAAAATGGGAAAACAAACAAACCTCATCTATGAATGTCAGTATGGCGTTTAAAAAAAAATGTCTTCTGCATTTTCGTTGGGGTTTCCAACATAGTTAAACTACTACATATAACATTAGTTAAATATGCACTACTGCATCTGATCTTTCAGGGGCAACACAAACTTTTAAACAATGTCCCTTCTACAACAATCTCCACAGACTGTAAACTGTAAGCCAAATGGACAAGGCAAAACAAAAACTGTGGCAAAAACTAGTTAAGACAAGTTTAATGCCACAGGTAATGAGGTGGACTTCCCTCTCGCCAATAAGTGGCAATGCTTTAATTCATGCTTCTCCTCATTTGGCTTAAAACCAGAACTAGCCCAGGCACAAGTAATCCAATGAGTAATTGGAGGAACTTCATTTACAACTTGCCAAATTATATTGAACACCTTTATCTTTCAAACAGCATCTCAAGGACACATTCTTTTTTGGCAAAGAGCTGGGGAAAACAACTGATAAAACAGCTTGGAATGGGATATTGGCTTCCACTACCAAAAGCTTCATTAAAAAAATTAGCTTTAGAAAGTTTATACAAGGTTCTCTTGAGGTTGTACTTAACTCCATCTCTTATAGCAAAATACATCACTGACTTCTTCCCAAACTGTGATGTAGGTAGTGTCGACCAGAATGCTATGGGGATTGATATACTAAAGACAACTAGGCTGTTCAATTTGCAAGGGAATTTGCACTTAGATGGGGAACTTTTCCCTCAGTTTAGTGAATGAGGGGAAGCTCTGCTGACTTCCATCACCCAATCATGTTCAAGAAAAAATGCTGTTTTTTTATATTTAATGCTCAGCAGCATTTGGCTATTCCCTCTCAGCTGTTCGAGCTCTATGAGAATAGGGGGGAACATCAGAGAAGGAACTGTCGAACGTTCACCTCAGCCGATGCAGATGTTGCATCAGCTGAGGCAAACGGATTCTTCCCTTCAATTCGGCCAAACATGCTAAGGCTGTTCGGCTGAACTGAAGGCAAGTGAAGCGGGCCTAATGCAGCTGATGTAGAGATAAGAATAGCCATACGGGGCTGCAGTGACTAGCCAAAGAGGCTTCAGCTGCCTTTACTTTAGCTTGGCTATTCATTCAGCTGCCTTTGGCTGACTGAATGAGGTGAATTTTGATGTCACCTCCCATTGTCCAATCAGAGTAGAGGGGAAGCAGCTTAACTCAGGACCATTACACGACCCAGAAGATCACTGTAAAGCTGGACCAGTGTTACTATGAGGAAACAAAAAGAAAAAAAAGGGCTTCACTAGTGTAGAGATTCTTTATTAAGAAATGTATTAAGGTAAAAAAAATACTCACAAATGTATGAGTATAGACAGTCTTGTAAAAAAACTTTGGTTCCCTCAAGCAAGAGGAGATCCCACCATGGAGCTAAATATATTACCCTATAGTAATTATGGCATCAAACAATGTAATTATATCACATCAATATTTTAATTTCATAGACAACATTTATACAAAAAACCACACAGGACAAACATTTAAAATTCTAAAAATAAGCTTTCCCTACAATGGCTCAATTAAAAGGTAGGACGTGTAAAAGTTAAAAGTGATGACGTGTATTATAATTACCCTCCACATGTAGTTATTAAAACCAAGAGGGAAGCTGCAGTACACGATACACACTAACGCGTTTCTCCCCTGCAAGGGGCTTCATCACGCCCCTCTGATGAAGCCGCTTGCAGGGGAAAAACGCATTAGAGTGTAGCGTGTACTGCAGCTTCCCTCTTGGCTTTAATAACTACATTATTATTATTATACAGGATTTATATAGCGCCAACAGTTTGCGCAGCGCTTTACAATATAGGGCAGACATTACAATCACAATACAATTCAAGACAAGATGGTAAGGAGGGCCCTGCCCCTGAGGGCTTACAATCTAAAAGGGAGGGGGAAGTGATACATGAAGAGGGAGCTGTGTGGGGATGAATTGTTTGAGAACGTGATGGTTGAGCGGTTAGGTCAAGGTGGGATAGGCTTCCCTGAAGAGATGAGTCTTTAGATTTTGCCTAAAGGCAGTCAAGGTGGGCGACAGACGGACAGGTTGGGGTAAAGAATTCCAGAGGAGGGGAGAGACTCTAGAGAAGTCCTGGAGGCGAGCATGGGAGGAGTTGACAAGGGAGCTGGAAAGCAGGAGGTCTTGGGATGAGCGGAGCCGACGGTTAGGGTGATACTTTGAGACCAGGTTTGAGATATAGCCGGGGGCAGAGTTGTGGATGGCTTTGTAACTGATTGTTAATATTTTGAATTTTATCCTTTGGGCTATTGGAAGCCAGTGCAGGGATTGGCAGAGGGGGGTTGCAGACACTGAGCGGTTGGTTAGGTGGATGAGTCTAGCAGCTGCATTCATGATAGACTGAAGGGGGGATATCCTGTGTAGTGGAAGGCTAATGAGGAGGGAGTTGCAATAGTCAAGACGAGATATAACAAGGGAGTGGATGAGTCATTTTGCGGTTTCTTTGGTGAGGAAGGGGCGTATTTTGGAGATGTTATGAAGGTGAAGGCGGCAGGATTTGGATAGTGATTGGATGCGGGGAAGAAAGGTGAGGTCAGAGTCAAGGATGACACCTAGGACCTTGGCATGAGGGGAGGGCTGGATAGTTGTATTAACAATCTCAAGGGAAATGTTGGGGGAAGGTGCATGGGCAGGAGGAAATATCAAGAGCTCAGTTTTTGAAAGATTGAGTTTTAAGAAGTGTTGCGACATCCAGACGGATATGTCGGATAGTACATTAGTGACACGAGAGGACACTGAGGGGGTGAGTTGTGGAGTAGAAAGATAGATTTGAGTGTCATCGGCATAGAGATGGTATTGGAAGCCATGTGCGGTTATTAACTGACCAAGGGAGGAGGTGTAGATAGAGAAGAGAAGCGGTCCAAGGACAGAGCCTTGGGGGACCCCTACAGAAAGAGGAAGAGGAGAGGAGGATTTAGAATTGTAGATGACGCTAAAGGAGCGCTTAGATAGGTAGGAGGAGAACCACGAGAGAGCAGAGTCTTGTAGCCCAAGTGACGAGTTTTTTGAGGAGGAGCAGGTGGTCAACAGTGTCAAAAGCAGCAGAAAGATCTAATAGCAAGATTAGGGAATAGAGGCCTTTGTTTTTAGCACTAGTAGGTCAGTAGTAGTGAGTTTTAGGAGGGCGGTTTCAGTGGAGTGTTGGGGGCGAAAGCCAGATTGTAAGGGGTCAAGAAGGTTGTGATCAGCGAGGTGGTGACTTAGGCGGCTGTAGATGAGGCGTTCTAGGAGTTTGGAGGTGAATGGGAGTAAGGAGATTGGTCTGAGATTATTGAGGTCGGTAAGGTCCTTTGAGGGTTTTTTGGGTATTGGGGTGACCAGGGCATGCTTCAGAGGGGAGGGAAAGATTCCAGTAGAGAGTGGGAGATTGAAAATGTGAGTAAGAGAGTGTAGGAATGGAGTATGAGGGTGACCGAAGTAGCGGTGAAGGAACAGGGTCCAGGGGGCAAGTGGATGTCAGAGAGAAGCTTTGTAACCTCCTCTGTGGTGACGGGGTCAAAAGAGGAGCGTAACAAGTGTGATGGAGGGTCTGGCACACATGTGAATGGACGGCATGAAAAAGCTACACAGAGGAATCTGAGAAACTGCTGCATCGACAAAGGGCTGCAGCTGCGCTAGTGGCAAGTACATCAATTATCCATGAGATGAGTATGTATCCATCTTTTCTTATCAGTACGGCCGTACGATCATAAGAGATTCCCAGCCTGTGATTTGCGATCGAGACGGCATTGAACTAGTTTTTGTACCGTCATTACCTCACTACGGGGCCAGCTTTTCAAGTTAATTTTTTTTTATTTCAGAGAAAAGTAAAGTACAATGTGTATACAGTGTCAAAGTACAATGTACAAAACAGTTGTAAAACAATACTAATAGAGTTGTAAAACCAGTCATAACAATCTCTAGCTATATAAAGCACACATAGCCATGTGTGCTATAGAGGCCTATATATGACGACTGTCAAGTAACTTTTAAGCAACACACAAATGTCGTAAGCGCAACATCAATGAGGGCAACAAGGTCGAAATTTGGTGTTGGAAGGCGGAGTAACCTTTGATTTCATGCGGTCAGGAGGACGGAGAGAGAGTTGTTGTTGGGTGAAAGAAAAACAGTGTTGGGATAAAGATTTGGTTAGATCGTTCAAGTGGGGGATATATGACTGAGTAAGTGGGAGTAATTTCGAAAGTGAATGTGAATGTGGATGACGTCACAGGACATCGAGTTTGCCTAGTGTGTTGTTGAGTTTGGCCGTAAGGAACCATTTGGAATATTGGAAGATAATCATAGCATCACGTAATTGGTCTAGGGGTAATTCAGCAATCAGGTAGG